TGACTTCGGGTTTCACAGAGGGGAGGAACAGACAAAGTCACAAATAGTAGAGAGGAGGAACAGAAGAGTGATCCACAGACCTAAAGGAGACAGACACAAATCAGAGAATAGGTAAGGTGAGTACTGTGGACGTGATCGAATATAGCATACAGCGGGGTCAAGGTAGTTTGAAGTGGGAATTCAACTGCCGGTTTATAGACATTTTTGTCGTATGAATATACGTTTCCCAGGGTGCACCACTTGGAGGTAAGCATATAGCACACCCCAATTTCTTAGATATTTTGGCTCACTATTCACATTCATTATTGCTGCTAATTAGATTTTGTTATCGTGAAGAATTTGAGGGACTATCAAGGCTGTTGCATCCTAGATGATGCTAACCTAATCATCTCAAAATTATATTAGGACGTGGTTTTAACAATAATAGGGAGGGTTTAAGTGGTGTAGATAACTCCTGCTGGCTATCTTTTCGTTCAACACCAACAGACGTATATCGAGTAAAAGCCCTTCCATTGCTTTTCCCTTCCAACGTTAACATTGAGAAAACTATTCTTATTCAGTTATTGTGATTTTTTATTAAAAGTGAATCAGATTAACTGCTGTTGACTATAGAAGTGAATTGCTCTAAACAGGAACTACTTAAGAATGCGAAAATGGAAGAATAAGTCTTGTAAAAGGGCAAAAGGGCTTACTGACATACATCGGACAAAATGAATCACGAAACCTACTCAAACCTGTTAGTAGCATGGAATTAACACTCAGGCCTTAATCCCGAATACTACGTAACCCCCCCCCCCCACCCCCAATTTAAAGATAAACAAACTTATTGACTATTATAGTATTAACTAGGGGGTCAAAAATTGTGAATTGCTATACACATAGAAAGGAAGCTTGTGTGAGAGACAAAGGGCAGGCGTGTAATAAAAAATCCTTTTTCGCGCGTAGATAGATAAACAAGCACACTCAGAGAAGCGACATTTTAGAAAAAAGAAGGATTAAAGTAGATCGAGGAGAGCCCAGTTTTACTCCCCATCCGCTTCAGCTATTCGTCCATGTACTCTCAAACGGTAAATACACGTGTATTCAGGATGGCCATGGTTACTTTTCACCGACATCTCCACAAATCGTGTCGGTTTGCCGTCGATCCTATCCTTGACAGCAAAGTACTGAATGGGTTCACCTGATTCATTATAAGTGAATTCTCCGATAACTTCACCCACATGTGGAGCATCAAACTCCGAGTTAAGGGCCTTTATGACGAAATCTCGCGGTGCAGAATCAATTCGACCAGTGTGGGATAGAGCCTTGGGAATGTGCTCCAGAGAGATTCCGGTTACGTGAACAGAAGCTGCTAAACGAACGATAGCTTGACCTTCTGAGCCATAGAAACACCAGCATTCACCAGGATGATTACCAGGCTGCAGAATTTCACTGAGAGATAGAAAACATGGCATATAAAAAAGTGAACAATGGTTTCACAAATTTCAATTTACTATGAAGAACAAAGTCTGATTTTTCTAAAGAAATTCAATCCACTCTTCAACTTGGATACCTGACCTCCAGTTCATCAGGAAGACATAATCACTCACTTTGGCCTATCTCTAAGGGAAAGACAAAGCATTCGAAAGAAATTTCAAAATTAATCTATATATGTGAGTATGGCTTGCTAACCTTACAAATATATCCGCATTAAAAAATGGGCAAATCAAATAAGTGGAATTTAAGAGCCATCTATTCGCTACATTTCTACACCAGAAGAGAACTCGAGCCACGACAGTGAATCGTAGAAGGCAACGAATTTGAATTATTGATGCAATTACCCCGTTCCCCGAGTATAACAACATAAATTCGAGTATCCGATTGATGTTTGTTTGCTTTAAATCTTATGAAAAAAATAGTTGTGGTGTAAAAACTAGATACCCGCGTGGCGCAAATAACGCTGACGCAATATATTCTATCCGATTCACTGCAAATGGACTTTCTAAAAGGAGTAGCAGCACGTGTTCTTCTGAGGCGAAGAACGAAGAGGCACAAATCTCAAATATTAAAGGCAAAATCCCCTTTCAATTTCCTCAGATTGTATGCCAATGCTTATATGGCAACACCTTGTCCTAATAAATAATGGTTCATATTATATTAGGTGATATTACGACTTTAGATTATAACTAAATTCACCGGACAATAGGAATTAGACTAACAGTAAAGGTATTGGCAAAAATGATGAAATTAGCAAACACAAGGAATAAATGATACGTTACGAAGTTCAAGATGAGCAAGCCTAAACTACATCAACTCCATATTCTGAAAAACACATACACTCCGTGGACAATGAGGAAAAGTAATTAGTATTTCAAATGACAGGCTTTATGATATTTATCATTAACCCCAATGAGGAAAAATAAAGTGATTAGAAAGTTTAGACAAACCGAAAACTTACTTAGGGGAACGTGACCAGTAAGCCAGTGTAATGCCAAATAGAGATATTGCAGATTTGAAACTAGTGTATGTTCTTGTACAACGGGTTGAAACCACAGTACCCCCTGCCGATTCAAGCGCAAAATCTGCTTTTCCAGTTCCGTCTGCACTGAACATCTTCAACAAACCATCAATATATGCCAGCACATTAACCGGAATGCTTTCCATTTGCTTTGTTTGTGTCTTATCTACAGAAAAAAAAGACAAAGGGAGGTATGCTCTTAAGTGTCCTTCATTATATTTGCTATGGTCTGCTGATATTATTCTTTTCTCAACAAAATTTGCTGTGCTGTTTTGACTACAGGAAGCTATGTGTGTATTAGATAATCTCCATTCTGCTTATGAGATAACAAACACACACACACACACATCAACTCATAGCACTTTATCTGGAGAGTAAAAGCATTCATCAGATCTGCTGATTTTTAAATTGTGAGAAATTGGGGATATACGGTGAGACCATGGGATGAAAGATCGCGACAACATAAGTATTTAGCTTACCTATAAATGTACTCTTTAGTCTTTCGCCAACTGTAGTATGAATAAGAGATAGCAATTTCCGCTCAAGAACTGCTCCAGACTCAAGAGAGTGAGATATCTCTTCTGCGATTTTCTAAATAAAGGTAATTGAGAAATTGGAATAAAGACCCACCTGTTTAAGGTCCAGAGTCAGCTTCTCGTAGAAGGAAGATTTTATTTCATTTAGAATTTCCTCAATTTGTGATTTAGAAAAGCCAGATTCCTCCGAGACTCCAGTCTCACGATTAGATGCGAGTTCTAGGACATAAAGACCTTTAATAAAAAACCCACCTGAGGATAGCTTTTTAAGTGCCTGCTCCAAGTCACTATTCAGACGTTCCAGAGAATCAATACGAGAAGATATCTTCTGTATCTCTGTGGACAAACGGGAGTCCACACCATCGAGGCTGCTTTGCGATTCCTTAACCGCGAATGTAATCTCCTTGGCAACCTTTGAGTCGATATCCTCCAAAGATGCAACATGATTCTTTATAGAGGATTCTAGTTCCTCTTTCAAACTAGTGAGCTGAAACGAAAACGATGTCGGATTAAATGTACAAATATGAAGAGGCACACAGACCAAGGACTCACCCTTTCCTCCAAAGCCGCCCTCTGAGTGTTCACAATGGAAGTTAACTCAGAGATTGCCTTCTCATAACGCTCAATTTGAGCAGTTTCTTTTCGGAGTGTGTTCTCATCAATAGAAGTACCAGCAGTAGATGAGGCAGATTTTGCAATAGCTTCGAGATGTGACCTCAACTCCTGCAATCGAATATCCAAAGAAGCAGTTGAAACAAACGCGGCCTGTTTGCTCAACTCATCAATGAGACGCTGCCTATTTATATCATCTGCCTTGTCCGAGACCTTGTCCGCAAGAGCAGAAATCTGCTCATTGAGAGAATCTACTACTGAGTGAAGTTTGGAAACATCGAAGGTTAAATTATCATGTTCTTTTTCTTGAGTGGATAGTCTAGCGCTGTGAGCTTCCTTCAACTCCTCTACATGCCTAAAAGATTAGAGAAAAATACGTAAAGTTGAGCGAGAATGTACGAATTTGCGCCAGTATCCAGCTGTTTAAACGTGTGTGCTCTTCAGAACTAATCCCTATCGACTTCGTTGCTGATTCATAGATGCTGTGTTACGAAGTGAGAACTGGTTTCGAGGACACACTCAGGGGCTAAACCAAACTAGGACTAGAGAAAACTAATGAGCTTTCTGAAGACTAGCAGGAGATAACAGCTCTTTCTGAATTAGTTAATCAAGGGTTATGCTGGACCACTGTAAGGAATAGGAGAAAGGGGTAGATGAAGAATTAGAACTCAATCGAGCAGGTGATAATCGCCAGCACAGCGTGAGTGGAAATGAAGTCATGCTCTCAGCGACAATTTCGCTCTTTGTGCAGTGATTCGAAAAGTTAGAACATTTTTAACCAAATTTTAACCTTATTCAATTCCTGAACACCTACTACTTTAGGAAAAAAAAACACGAGAAAACCATAGAGGATAGACGTTAAATAAAGTATATATATATATATATATATATATATATAGACCCCGAACCATAAACCCCTTGCCCTACGACAAATTTGCTCACATAGACAGTTATTTCACAATTGATTGATTGAGTGAAGTCAATATTACGCGTTTTTTAGACTTAACATGATTTGTACACTAGTTTTGATGATTACAAATGTGCAAGTGGCAAGCCTTCACACAATTTGAATATCGTGCACATGTCTGCACAGGCTCGTAGGGCACAGTTTTATAATGCGAGAGCTTAAAAGCACTGACGATAACTGTTGGCAGTGCTTTAACAGAAGCATGGCCAAATTGAGCTCATTCAAGCAGTAAGGTCAAAAGACAAAAGTGGTAAGATACTTTCTGGTAGACTTGAGAATTTAAGCAGTCCGCCTAAATAGAATTCTATTTCGCCAAAATTCTATTTTGTCCTTTACACTGGAGTTAAGTACAATGGGGAAAAATCCAAAATTGAAGCCATCCTTGAATAAACGCTAGTTAGGTTCGGAATTTGAAAAAAAAAACTTTTTTGCCAGGTTCACTCACGAGTAAGAGGCTCATGGCTACAAGAAGGTAGAAATGCAGCAAAATGGAATGATCAAATAATCAATTACGCCAACTGGTAAATGAATTCCGATAGGAGGCATTTGGAAATAAGTCTATGAAGGCTAAAATTATGTTCGCAAATTCTAAAAAAAGCTGTCAAATCAAAGCCGATGATTAGTGAGTGATCACAGTCGACTGAGGAGAGTAGAAAAGGGAAGTACAAACTACTCCATTTATGGCCGATCAATGCTCCATACAACTCACCTTTCACAATTCACTTAAGCCTACCTTCTACACTGTGATTAGAAAGGGGGTAATTCAATGAGTAGCATTAACCAATATTAATCAGCTCAAAACTCCAAAAACTACTGCAGCTAACCTTCTAAGATCAGCCATTCCAGCGTCAATTTTCTTCAATCTCCTCAACAGATCGTCGATATTCTGTGGCGCTGATTCAGGAAAATGTGTCTCCTCAGAAGTAGATGGAATGCGAGAGAAAAAAGCAAAAAGGGGCTGGAACCACTCAGCCACCCAAGTTAAAAATTTCGATGAGCGCCGATGAATGGCGTTAACACTGGGTCGAATATAGACCAATGAGAGACACTTCCATCTCAAATCCCGTATGTTAGAATTTGTTGCATCAACAGAATTTACAATAGATCCATCTGAATAGCTTCGAGCAAGCCGATCGCATTCGGCATCAGAGGGCAAAAGACCAAAGAGATAGGCTTGTTCACTTAAGGAACTATTAGTATCTGTAGAAATAAAAGTATGATTGTTAATAATAATAAACTAATAGATGAAAAGATTTTTAAAACTCGGTTCGAGGAAGAGTAACAACCCTCTCAACTGCCATTTGATATAAATGTCTTGACTACCGTGCCCAATGCAAAATAAATTCTTAAATTTAGCCTAAAACGAAGTAGATGAAATTAAGTTCTCGACAATAGAGCATAAATTTATTTCATTTTCAGGAGCTAGCAAAAATTATGTGGAGGGATGTTAAACGATTTCTTTGACGATGTCATTCCTAGTTAACCACTCGATAAAAATATGTTGATGGTTTCCGGGTTTGAAGGCTTGTCAATACAGATATTGGGCAGAATTATAAAATATTTAAGCTAGTCTGGTTGGGAAAGGATTCTTTACCAACCCTTTCCCTGTTGCGATTCTCTCTAGAACAGTTTTTTTTGTTACGCGTCTTGGATAGAAGAGTAGGATCACGGAGCATACCTGATTGGAAACCTGAATTCTGACACTACCATATTAACCAGAATTTGCCAGTGCGGATGGACATTGAGCATACCAGTGACCTCTGGGCTCGTTAACCACTTCATCATGGGGACAAAACCACTCAGTTACCGATACCTACTAGCTAAGGCAATCGATATTAAATTTATTACTTGTTAATGCTAGTCGAATTCACTGGTACTAAAAGGAGAGTGAAGGGAAGAGGAAGGAAGCGATGTTAACCCGACTTGAGTATAAGTAAAGTAATATAGTCGACAACGGACCAATTTAATTATGCACACTATGGGAGAAATTTAACTTACTGGAAGAAACGGGGCGGTAAATGAATCCTCCTAGAGCGCTAGATATCAACAAAAAAAGCAACAAGAGAACTAAAGGAAGACAGCAAGTGCTTGGACATTGGTCAATGAAAAGAGGCGAAACAAAATCTCCAGAGGACCTATGGTCACGAAGATTTGAAGAAAATGTTGCATTATCAACACTGAAATTGAAAGACAAAGAGAGATAAAACAGACCACCTCGAATCATTCCGGTCGATAAACATAGGAGAATCTCTCACCTATAAGATAGGTTAGGTTGGGAAGAGAATACATTTTTGGATCTAGAAAAGTTGTAGAATAGTCGAGAGGAGGCTGAATAAATTGCCTTGCTGAAGGTGCAGACGGCGAGGTATAGATAATGCAACAAAACCAAGGGAATGGCAATAAGGTTAAGTAAACAGGAGCCAATACGATGACAAAGTGATGATGTAAGACGCGAAGCTTCAGAGGGGAATGATGAAAAAGTAGATCTAGATGAAGCCCGTCGATAGTAATCTTGGGATTCACTAGCATGAAGAGTTGGGCTTCTGTAAGAAGGCTCTGCTGAAAGACCTGTAAAAGAAAACAAATCTATGAATATTTAGTAACAGTCAGATTTATGTAGATGCTATACTACCTAATGCTACATAATCTAAGCTCATTGACAGATGAGCTCACAGTACTTGACTAGGGCAGAGGGAATGTAATCCTGGAGTCACTCTCTTTATCACCTCTGATATGGTAAACATCTGCAGGAATCTAAGATCAAAACGATAGAATTGCGTTCTGATCGCACTAAAATAAAGATAATATTAACAGAACTATATATTGCCTTGCCGAAACAGTAATCAAACTATACAAGTGTCCTGAATATAATTATCTATGAATAACTAAGCCGAGCTTTAAATATCGCAACCAATCTATCGGGGTAAAGTAAGTTATTTCAAAGACAAATACCCTTACCTATCATACTGGAGAGATGCCAAGGTCGACGAGCAGAATTACTTAACCCAAGAGTTTCTTCTCTAGAGGAAAAAGGTAAAATCAGTGAAAAAAGAATAGCTTACGATAAAAGAGAATTAGACATTTTCATCAATGGTTCTGTAGTGGACAAATGAATAGTGGATTCCTCCTCAATTTCCTTCGCCCGACGTCTGATAGCATCCTCACGAGTAGTGGAAGGGAATGGAGTAGCTACTTCATAGTCGACACTCTCACGAAAGAGACCACCAATCTAGAAATAAAAGAAGGGAGGAGTCCATATTTAAATCCAAGGAGTCAACAAACCTTCCCAGATCGCAAAACTCTATCAGTGGGTGGGGCTGGCCGACCCTTACGTCTAGCTGTCGATGAAGTACTGCTTCTGAAGAGAATGTAAATTAATCAAATTATCCAAAAAACTCACGCTATAGATCCTTTTTCATCAACAATCTTGGCTGGACTTTCATCAATCCGTACAGAGAGCGGCTTGCCGAAAACTTGGCTACCAAGCGTTTTGGCAGATATGTTATTAGTAGTCTTTATCGTGGTAGTACTACTAGAAGCAGGCTGAAGCATTCGGTACTCTGCAACTTCTTGATAGTCAATACGTCGTCGAACTAATTGGGCATTTGGTACTGAATGCTCGCCAGCCATTACATAAGCTAAAAAAGTTGCAAATTAGATTTATCGATTTTATCATATGGACGATTATATAGAACAAATTACTAGTATACTTAGACGGTAAAAGGCAGTGCCCAAAGGACGTATTTAGTCAGCTGATGACAAATTTGTGCAGTTGAAAAAAATATATATTGTTCTGCAAGAAGAGACAATGCAGCACAAACAAGACTATTTACAAATTCTGAAGTCTTCAATGACACAAACACGCACAAATCCTGGTGAGAAGGGACAAGGCTATTTTACAGTTGTCTATCCATCAGTATTGACTTTTGAGCGCGTTTGAGCAGGTACCTGAGAGGATACTTCAACCCCCTTAAAACGATGAGTCATACACAGGATAGCAACAATCTTAATCACAGTTAAACAAGGAGACCACCACGAAACTTACATAAATAAGTAAGAAAGCGAAATAAATTTAATGAGCACACGTGATGGGGTTACTACAATTGAAACAGGTCTTAAAGACAGGTGACTTACAGGGAAGTTGCTTTGGCATTGAAACTATATTTGGAGATTCCCGTGGAACACTAAGAGTAGATACCTGATGTGATCTTCAAACAAATAAAAATAAGGATAACCATGTGAATGGCTACACTTCAAATCAAAACATCAGGCAGGCAAATTACTTTTGAGACGGAGGAGCATTAAAATATTCCTCCCTTGAGTAGACAAAGACCGGTTTAAGAGTATGACCAGAAACGGTTTTGTGATGCTCCTTTATTACCACCGTTTTATTTTCATTCATCTGCAAAGGAGAAAAACGCAAATTATTAATTAATATAAGGCAAAAGGCATTATGAAAACAATAAGGCAACAAGTGTATCCGCGGCTTTATTAAAATAGGTTACAGATATTTACAAAAGTGCTAGGGATTGTGGGCTCTAATTTTCGAAGACTGAGCCTTTTGGTGAGGTCGAAAAATGCACCTGGATGATTGTGCTTAAGGATGTCTAGGGACCTTTCAAAGTTGGGAGTGTATTTTTCATCCAGTGTTGCAATTCCAAAGTCTAGAACAACACCTGCTAAACATTCTGCTTCTTCAAGGCTTGGTTGTCGGTCAAAAACGACTCGAGCAAGTTCGTCAATTCCTTCACCAAGCAAAGAAAGATTCAGACTGGCTTCTCGCCATTCAGAGAGTAGAAGAAAGCTTGCACAAGTGAGTAAATACTCTGAATTCTCTTTTGAAGAAAGGGCAACCCTCCATTGTTCTATAAACCTCCTTCTTTCATCTTCAATACTGAGATTAGCCGCGTAAGCAACACAAGCCTGGACGAGTCTTACTGATATAACAGGGCTTGATGGAACCATGACAAGAGATGTCCACAGGACAACCATTCGATCAAGGGCAGGGAGGTTGGAATCCGAGTTGCCACGGACTGCGGATACTGCTTTATCGATTTCTCCAGCAGCAAGAAAAGCCAGAGCAGAGTTAGGGAGACCAGTGTGCGCTTGTTTCTCTGATAAAAGGGAGAGACATTTTGACAGTAACTCTTGATTGGCTTCAGAACTTAATCGAAGACGGAAAAGTAGCAGAGCTTCCTTCGCTCGACCACATAGAAGGAGTAATTTGACAGCTTCTGCCGTTCGACCAGCAGAAACCAGTAAAGTTGAAGCCCAAGTGTACTCGTTGGATGCTATCAACTGCATGATCTAAAACAATTATAAACGCATGAGTATCAAGGTCAAAATTTTATTGATTGAGACGAAGTAGTACTAACACATGGTACTTACTTTATGTTGGAAGAAATCGTCCTGGGCTATTTCTCGTACAGAACCATCCCCACTTTCCATGAGAGATGAGAAAATTGGACGAGAAGCAGGACCTTTAAGCAACATTTCAAGAGCCCACATAAGCCAAAATGGAGTGTATTGAAATTCGGCAGCCTTTCTGGCAGCTACTTGACCTCTCCCTAGCCACAAAAGGAGACTAAAGTAGGCATCAAGACGCGCCGTTTTATTAGGACCAGAAGCAGCTTCAAGATGTTTCAGGGCCTCTGATTCAGTAAAACGAACTAACTCACGCCGCCTTCGTGCACAACCACTGTAGAGTAGATCAAACTCTGGCAGAATCCTTGAGTCATCAAGGCATAAGGGATCCCTCATGTATGCAACAAAATCTGTTATAATTTCGAATTTGCTTTGCATCCGAAGTGGGGGTGAGAGAGCGAGAACAGGTAGAGAGATGTCTGAAAAACCAAGAGTAGCAAACAAACTAGGTAAGAGGGAAGGCTTCCTGCTTGTATGCGGTTCTGTTCGTTTAATAGAGAGACATTGGGGAAGATGAGGAGTCTCAATACAAATTGTTTCACTCTTCTCTTCCTCCTTCTCTACCCCTGAATCCGGTGCTTTAATTTGTTCGCTATTAGCACAGGAAGGGATCTTGGCCAAAGGGTTCTTATTCTTTCGAGAAAGGGGAAGTGCACTAACACTCTGAGCACTTGGTCGCCAACCAGCAAGATAGCCAAAGTTCTCCCCAGTTAGAACGAAGTCAGGAATATCAGGAGACCAAGCACAGGCATGTATACGTGACAGGTGGTCACGATAATTGGCTATAGCGGAAGAAGAGCCCACGCCAACTCGCCAAACAGCCGCTGTACAGTCATAGGAACCTGATAGCAGCAAATCAGGATCAGCAGGTGACCAATCAAGAGCTGAAACGCGTGATCCGTGACCTTGAAGAGTAGCCATACAGCTAGTGAACTGATGTGGCTCCATATTTTCTTGCGGTGGATTAACTGCCTGATCAGTAGAATCGATAATTGTAATAAAGGACTCTGCTGAACTCACAGCTAGCCAATACTTGTCGGTATGGTACGACCAGACCATTGAAATGATGCATTTTTTGTGAATGTCAATCCGTGAGAGAGGAACCAACGACCCGAATATACGCGATAAACCAAAGAGATTTACAGCTCCGTTCATACTCCCAAGACCAACAAGCCAGGAATAAGAAGTAATTCCCTCCTCCGGTATTCGTTTAAAGGCAATCTCAGCCAATTTGTGATCATCTGAGTTTTGCAAAAGAAAAGTGAATTTAGGAGTGATGTTAATCGGAGGTGTTTTGGTTGAAATCAAGAGATAAACACAGCCATTCGCAACGGCATAAACTAAAAGTTTATCCCCCATGTCGACTGTGCCTTCCCCCTCCGAAGATGCGAAGAGCTTTGGACCCCAAGTAACTCGGTAAATACAACCTCCCAAGTGATTGAAATTTCGCCCTCGATTTTGGTGTTTCAGAACATCAATAATATCGATATGACCCTTAGAGCTTCCAATGGCAATGAGGTTTGCAGAAAGAGGGTCTGGATGCCAAGCAAGAGCGGAAATTCCAATAGCGGCAGTAGAAGGTGGAAGAGGCAAGAGCCTATTGACAGTAATTAAAGAATTTGGTTCAGGAGGTGAGATATTTCTAAAAATAAGCAGAGTACCGTCTGAAAGACCAACTGCCAGGGGACTATAGAGACCGGGAGCTTGACTTAAACAGTTTACTCTTCCAGGAACACAGGGAATAGACGCCACAGGTGTTAAAGTTTGCCAATCATTATAGGTTCTCTTCCAAGCAATAATCTGGGAATCTTTACCAAAAGAGATAAACAAATGGGGAGAGCCTGGAATTGAGATAAAAGAGAAAACAAGACCAGTATGTCGAAGGGAAGAAATTGTAGAATCACATGACTGAGGCTTATCAATAGCATTGAAGCTATAAAGATTTCCATTAGTGTCAAAGGCTAGGAAACGCGGCGACTCAATTCCAGTTGATGCTATAGGGATCCAAGCTTTTCCATGACTACCCGTTGAAACCTGAGCATTATTGTTGTCCCTATGGTGCACCTTGAAACGATGAGAGTATTTGCACTGCATGTCGTCCAGAGACCATAACTAAAATAATGAAGATCTAAATCACCATAATTGCATAAAATTAACATTTAAGAAAAAGTAGTCATAGATACCCGAATTTCCGCATCTCTGCCAGCGCTCACAAAACATTGATGTTCGTCCGCTGAATCATTGACAGGAACAATACTACAAACCTCAAAGTTATGAGCGGAAATCTTGAAAGTCTGGGAGCAAGAATTTTTGTTCATTGGTAAAGAGCGATCATAAGTATAGGCACAAATATCACCACTGTTAAAGCCCACAACAGCAAGCAGCTTTTGTCCATCACTACTACAAGGCACCCAAACACAACACGAGGCCGTGAGCTTCGAGAACTTCGTAATTAAAGGATTTGAGGGTGAACGGGAATTAAAAGGCTCCCATATAATAATATGACCAGTGAGGCTTGCTGACAAAACACACAAAGAACCTGAAACTACACACGCAGAGCAGGAATTTGGGACAATATCTTGTCCTAATTGAATTTCACGATCTAATTTATAGGCGTCTGAATGTTTATTTGACCAGATTCGTATGGACCGATCGTTGCCACAAGTGATTAGAAACTTATCAAGAGGGCCATCAGAAAGCTTAGAAGGAAAACAAACAGAATGCACATTTTGTTCATGTGCTTTGAAACGCGAGACGAAAGAAAAGTAATAACCAGAAGTTTCACCCGATTTCACATAACGTAGTTTATAAATGTTGACAAATTCGTAACTTATAAATGCTATGTCACAACCTGCATCGTCAGTCCATGGCGAAGTAGAAGTTGAGCATGGTCTGAACCAAGTTAATCCATGAGGAATCATGACTGACGCAACTGATGGACTAAGTTTGTCACATTGTTCCATTATTCTACAAGACAGAATAACAAATCCAATTAAGCGCTCTTTACGCTAACCAATAAATTTCCAGAATCATGTGTTTATTTGGCCTATTAAAACAGTATATCAGACCGAACAAATTAACTTCATCTTTATTTCAGCATCAACAATCCATCATGAGGTTTATTTATTGACGATTAAATAGACCCTATATAAGTGCCTCTAGGATTGGCTTCTCAATATTTTTGTCTGATCGAGGACAATAAAATTTAGGATATTTCAAGAAAATATTTTAAATTTAGTCAGAATATAAAATAGCTATTTTTGTTTACTAGTCTGGTTCAAGATAAAAATATGACCTAAATGAAAACCGTTTGATGTTATAAAATTTAATTAATTTATTACTAAATTTAAGTTTATGCTATATTGCTTAACGAATCTTATACCACTCGACTCCAAATGCCCTGTATTTTGGTCGGCCAAAGTACAATCTTATTCAGAATGGACCTTTTTAATATTCCGTACTATTTAATTCGTATTAATAGAATATAGCACATTGGGAAATTTATAAGCCTTCAATATACTTAAGCTAGATTTTCACCAAGTTTTATCAAATTTTCCTACTTTTTAAAATTGTCCAACTGTAATAGGTTAGTACTCTCTCTAGAGTTTTGCTACTCAAATATACACTTTGTATTGGTAAGTTGCCAATAGGTAATTCAATAGATTTTGCTCAAAGATAGTTAATTAAACGCAATTCTTACGTATTTGAATAAAGGAGGATTATACTATAAGTTAAAAGAAAAGTGAAATGTTTTATTCTTGGAATTATCGTTCGAAGCTAATTTAATTTTTTTCATTCAATAATAACGAACGGTATATTAAAAAACACTACTGACCAAAACGTCGTGTTTCTGAAGGGGAAGAAATGGTTTTCGAATCAATCAATATATAGCATGGCATCATATATAAGTAATTTAGAGCTTGCAACTCTAAAAATTATATTTTCTATTAAATTTCTAATCTCTTTATTATTAATCTTACAATGGTGGAAATAGTTGCACTTATTATTACACCAAACATCATTCGTATATCAATAATAAAGAATCTGCTCTCTTATTGGTCTCATGCGAAAATTAAGTTCTAAAAGAAAATATTGGCGAATCTAGATTGCATATTGAAATTTTTATTCACTTCTATCTACTTAGTATTGACTTGCATACGAAACTGCATGTATTGAGATAATTGGCAACGATAAATACGAAGTTAATTTAGTGTAATACCTTTTGAAATTCTAATAATCTGAATTTTATTATTTATACACCCATTTGGGAAGATGGAGTGTTACTGTTTCCAATAATTGAATCCATTTGGAAAATATTAATTTAATGGTCATTGTTCCTCTTTTCACCCATTGGCAAAATGAAATATTGTTTACTAATATTGTTCATGCATAAATGCCAATAATTATGACTTTAGAGTAAAATTACTGCTTCTAAATTTTCACATTCATACCTATTTTAAAACTCTCCTTAACTTGTACAAACAGCGTCACTGGGCTAACTTTAACCATTATTGTTATTTTCTTCTTTTCTTTTTATAGGCTTAATATAATTTACGCCTATTTGAATCTATGGCAACAAAGGCACGCCAAATTCCCGGCTTCTTTGAGCGTCTAATACCATTTAGTTAATCAGCTGATTACGTCAGATTTGACACATTGAAAAAAAAGTTGGGTCATAAAACAATTTTAGCACAAAATAACATGTCGAATTCTTGCGAGAATAATATTCCCAAAAATCCCGTTCAAGCAATAGAACCACCATCCTTCCCAGAGCAAGCATATACTACCTCAAATGGATATGAAACTGGAATTCCAATCATGGGATTTCGATCGGGCCGATACATTCCAGTGGAGGCTCGACGAAACCTTCAGAATCGCTTACTTTTAGTCGAGAAAGACGTTGAAATCAGTCAAAAGTTTAGAGAAAATACTGCAGATTTAATATGTTCTACACTTGAGAAGACTAAATATAATTTTGCGAATACCACGGAGAGTTTTCGAAGCCGTTTACAAGATATTCATCATTGGGCTAGAGAACTTGAAAGTGAAATTAACCGTTCGGTTTCAGTAACCGATTTTTTAATCAAGAGATTTGGCGAACTTGAAACAAGTCTCAAAGCTTTAGATGAATGCCTTTTACTGACTTCAGATGGCATTAACGCTAGGCAAAGACGATTTGGTGAAGATCTTCAACAAGATGCAGTTGAACTACAGCTTTTACGTGTTAGTCTGGCATACTTTTAGAAGCAACTATCCGATGTAATACTATGTTAGATGTTTCCTAATTACCAATTATCATTTCCTATTTTTCTTTAAAGGAACTCGATATGATAAACAAACACATAGCGTTTACGAAGGAAGCAATTACAAGCATAAACGCTCAAGTAAAGTGAGTCGCTTTTCCAGAATGATATTCAGCAAATATTACGATTTAGTTCCTCTAATTCAAGCAAATTTAAGTCTGAATTTTGTGATATACATAAGACTTGATGAAATTATTAGTGTTTTTGATTAGTTTATATTGTAAATTTGACGCGTTCGGAATTTATTTCCCAGTGATTGAGTACATAGGGATCAATAGAATTGTGTGGTGGTGATGCAGTTATTAAAAGTAAATTTCTCAACTGTGGGCGGAATAGTGGCCAATGCAATGTGGTTCAGGATTCGAATTTCTCTTCAGGCCGTCTTCATATTGCTTTTGCCTTTTTTCAAAGTCGAGAGTTGGACAATTCTTTCTTAGGTGGGCTCGAACTTACCTCTCTAAATGGCCAAGGTGGATTGAAATCTAAATTAGCTTAAATGAAGACGCCTTCCATAGTTGAGAAAGCAATAATATGTTAAAAGTATAAATATTTCTTCTTTTGATGATAAATTAGTTATTCACTTAAAAGATTATTGAGAACTTAAAGTACAAATCTGCTAATTTGAATTTTATACGATCGAAACTTCAGTGGGAAGTTTTAAAAGAGAATAACCAAACATATTTGGGAATATGAATATATATTTGATTAACTGATTAAATGACCTTTCATTGACTAAACCAAGTGACAATTAGCCCTTTAGACAAGACTTTACTCTAGAATCTAACGGCGCGTTCATGACTTTTATCTTTCAGAGTACTTCCCATATGAAATTTAATTCATCTTTATACTTTGCAACTTGATTCGTCAAGGAGAGATGTGATTTCACTTGGAGACTCGTTCTCTTGGTGATTGGGTGATTTCGGCAGTGATTTTCACCTATCACAATCTATTTTCTTATTTCATCTCTATTTTCGGAAACGACATCAACATTGTTGTCGAAACTTCATCCTAGAAGAAAATAAACTTCGAATTCAGTTGCAATCTGTCAACTACTCAGTTTCCAATAGTAATTTATTCACATGAAATAGCTGGCTTTATGAGAGTTATCATTAACCCTTTGGCTGACTTTGGGCTTCATAGAGTGGAGGAGTAACAAATGCACAAAATATTGTGAGGGGGAACAGGAGAAAGGTATGGTGAAGTGAGTAGTGTGGAAGTGGTCGAATACGACACAGAGTCTGCTCATGGTAGTTTGAAGTCAGAAGTCAACTGCTGGATTATAGACTTTTTTGTGGTATGAGTGCACCACTGGAGTTAACTCATTCGCACACCCATTTTCAGTAATGATAATATTATCCTACATGAAACCTGCTTACGTCCATATTTTCATTTTAAGAAAAAACCGCGAGGCAAAGACGAATATGGAGAAGGCCTGGAGTGATAAGCACGAAGCGGACCTTCTTGATTCAGAGGCTGCCCATCTGAGCATTACTAGTGGCAACACGCAATATTATGCTGGAGAAGCCAGGGCATGGCCTCAAGCAGCACAATCAACACCAACTTCCTGGATGCAACATGCACACGACCTCATTCTGGTCTCTGAGGAGCAAAGAAGGGCCTCTTGCTACCTCTCTGATTTGGTTGAGAAACTTCTAATTTCCACTGAGAAAACTATCATTGCACAGAAGGATCGCGTCAATGTTGCCATGCTGAAAAGGCTGGAGGAATATGAGTTTGAAAAGCAGGAATTAATTAGCAAACTTGGAAGGGTAATCTCTTGATTTTGTAGATAGATCATGTAAAGAATTACTAATTATTTGCTAGATTCACTGCGTCTACTGCGATCTGGAAAATTTTCGATACTGCCATAGTAAAACCAAAACATGTGAAGACCATGTCCCTCATCCCAGCCACATGTTTTACTAGCCCAAACTACCATGAGGATTCTGTGATTTAGATTGTCACTATCAGTGTAGATGTGTAAATACAATAAACGGCTTTAAGGAGAATCGGGAGGGGGAGAGAGGGAGGGAGAGAAACAAGAAATGACTGGCAAGAAATGTTTGCCGATTTGCCCATAACTTCCTGACAACTTATTATTCTCATATGAAATGGTTTAGTGTAACCTTGAGTCATCCGAATCACTTATGCCTTCCTTTCGTCCATAACTTTCATTCCTATCTTTCTAGTTGAGCGAGGAAATAATGAAGGTGGAGGAGAGTATAGAGGAACTGAAACGCGCAAAGGCAGCAAAAGACGCCTACGTAAAGATAGTTCAAACTCGACTTCACTTGCACAATCAACGTAAAAATGTGGAGAACTGTCGTGATCCACCCCAGCAATTGCAAGTCAACTCAAACTTTGCATCTTTGCCTATCTATTAACTTGTGTTGAGTTTTGTGATCTATAGCACCTGCCAACACTGAGAAGTTAGATGACTTAGAAGAAGAAGAAAGAGAGTGCAACGAGAATGAGTTCCTGCCTTCATTTAGAGGGACAGGAGCACGATGCTCTGATAGTCAGTAAGAAGCAGTGTCTTTGGCATGAATGGTTTCACCAAAGGGAGCTCATTCTCAGCAGGATGTCACCCATCCTAGTTTCATTTTTCCTCCTTCATGGACTCAAGTTGAAGTTGATGAACTTTAATAGGAGTAGTATGGGAAGTGGGAGAGAAAAGGGAATGCGAGTGAAGAGGATGTCTCCAGCAACTCGACAGATTTCACATAAACTTGGACACCGCTTAGCCCCTCTTCTGGACACCATGAGGTGGGTTGAAAATGAAAGGGAATTGGAATACTACTCTCCTTCCCATTCACTGATGAGACTACAACCATGTACTGATGTGGCTCATCTTGGTGACTCCCATACAAACCACTAAAATTCAATTGGGTTCTCTCATATACACAACATCCCTCCTTTCTCACTTTCTCATAAATATGACTCAGATAATAAGATTCACTCCATTGATTTAAGTCGTAGTTTGAAGTAGCCTTCGTAAACACCTTCTTACAGGACAAAAGGAACCAATATAAGTGGTTGCTTTACCTACTCTGTGTTCAACTAACGCAGTGACTTCCCACTTTCTTGTGGCCTAGGGAGCTTCGAGAGGAGTGAGCGGAGATATGAGGTTTGTAACTTGATGATGCCTCTTTACAGGCACGAAAAGTAGGTGCACCTGGGCAATATCAATACTTGATTGAGTGTGAAAGAACCAAACAGAAGGGAAAAAGATGCGTCTTTCATTAGCAATTTACAGTCAAACAGTAGCTTCACGCTTGTAGATTCGTTAGACTATGCCCATTTGAATAGTCATCATTCATATCATCGTTGTTGTTACTTTCAGAATGCTGAACGAGCTTCATGACCTTAATGAAATGACTGATCAGCTGGAAAATCAGATTCAATCAAGTATTGAAAAGTTGAAGCATCTTCAAGATGAACAATTGGTTTTGGAACGACAAATTCACATGAAGAATGCCTCAATTCAAGTCGACAGGGATCATTGCGTCCGTCACAGAGAACGCTTCCCATCACCTCATAGACTGCGAGGTCACTAAAACACACTCTAGCATTTATTTGTGGAAACTAACAATCTCCTTGCATATAAATCACATGAAAATAAATGGAGTTGACCTCATGCAATTACAACAACTCCTTCTATTCAAATGTAGTTCTTCTCATTTTTATTGACGATTTCAACTTGATTGAAATGGCAAAGTGAAATATTTACTTTGATAGCATTTAAGGAGAAACTAACAATCTCCTTGCATATAAATCACATGAAAAGAAATGGAGTTGACCTCATACAATTACAACAACTCCTTCTATTCAAATGTAGTTCTCATTTTTTTGACGATTTTAACTGGATTGATATGGCTAAATGAAATATTTACTTTGAATTAGTTATTCAGTGATCAAGTCGTTAAGCAGTTTAAACTCTACAACCAGTAATGCCTTTAAGGAATCCATTTCACAGGAGTAGTAGTTGAAATAAGGAAGGAATCGTAGAGAATTTATGAGCCAAGACTGCACACTGAGAAATGGCAAAGTGAAATATTTACTTTGAATTCGTTGTTCAGTGATCAAGTCGTTAAGCAGTTTAAACTCTACAACCAGTAATGCCTTTAAGGAATCTATTTCACAGAAGTAGTAGTTGAAATAAGGAAGGAATCGTAGAGAATTTATGAGCCAAGACTGCACACTGATGGCTAAATGAAATATTTACTTTGAATTCGTTGTTCAGTGATCAAGTCGTTAAGCAGTTTAAACTCTACAACCAGTAATGCCTTTAAGGAATCTATTTCACAGGAGTAGTAGTTGAAATAAGGAAGGAATCGTAGAGAATTTATGAGCCAAGACTGCACACTGAGCAACGAAATAGTGGGTTCTCACTTCGCATTCACTAAATTAGCTCCTACACCACCGACGCAAGTGAGAATACCTTGGATGCTTCAAATCTTCGAGGTAGGCAGAAATCGCTTCCCCTGATGAGTGTGATTCACTGCGTGAGAATGGTAATATCAGCAATGTGGTTTTTTCCAAATCCCAAAGGTGTTATGATACTTCGAGGAGCGTTTTTTGAATTAGAGTGTGTTAATGGGCACCTGATGGACAAGGGAACATAGAGTGAGGTGGAATAAGCTAAGACCAAGAAACACTAAAGGAACTCCTTCTCCCCTATTCTCCCAATTACCAGACCTTTCGTGTTTTCATCTCTCCTAACATTACTCTCCTAGGTATATCGGTTTTGGTGATTGTCAGTGAAGTTGGTATGCGCATGAACAATTGTCCCTTTACTTCCCTCGGGAGTGAGTCATAATAATTTGATGTAATGATTGGAAGGTGCAAATTAGGCAGAAACCCCGTGACTTTAAAGGCCACTGTCTAACAACCTATGGTCGCTAGCTGTAAATGTTGAGGAAAATAGACAGGATCATTAAAATAATCCCCAGTCTCTCATTAAAATTGTGCCAACTCCATAACTAAGATGTAAGAGGGTATCTTGTGGAACTCCTTTGTATCATTGTTCATAATGATAAGAATTAATCAATGTGGTCAGGGACCCACGTCACTGAGTACCAACCGAAGTGCATTGACTTTTCTCAACATCGGAATTCGTCGGTCTCCTCAAATCATCAACTCCGTCCTCCTCACTGCCAATCCAAATTGACCCAGAGTTAAGTGATAGGGGAGAATTTGAATTAAACTTATGAGGACAGTTCCAATAGAGATTGGATTTTATTGGCGATAGGTTTCGTAATGCTTTACAGAGGATTCTTTATGATGATTAAGTCTCATGGACATTCTCTTCGTCATCAAATTAACACAGGATAGAAAATTCTTAAGAATTTAGGAAATAATTGCAAGCATAAGGAGTGTTAACTAACAGTCACTTAAATTTATCACTTATGAACATGGAAGACATAAAATATATTTAAGATTAGAGGAATGTGGTTCCGAAGTTGTATTAATATAATAGTGTATCAAAATTTAACAACCTCTATCTTGTAATAATGGAACACGTTAGGGTCCTTACTAATCCCCAGTATCTCTCTTTCACCCTGACTTATCTTCAATCCTTATTTGAACCACTAAACAGTTTGAATTCTGATCTTTAGTTAAATCTGAAAGAAGGTTAATTAGCATACATTGAATTATACTCTGTTTATAAAATGTAACTGGGCTGTCTTGTTCGTTGAGATAATATCCATGAGAAAAAAGAACATCATGTTTACGTATAGGGAGTGCTTTCAGACCTAGTCCTCATTGATCCAGACATCATTATCATAAAACATATTTTGATTAATAATGCAGTCAATCGAATTCGCATGAATTTGTTTGAACGTTGGTCTTTTTTGTGGATCCACGTCCCAGCAGGATTGCATGAGTGAATAGATTCTTGAATGACACTCAAAACCGTATTTTGTTGGTGACGGCAGTCTTCAGCCCTTCAGTACAGCTTCTTTCACTTCATCTGTCTTGAGATCTAAAATTACCAACAAAAAGGCTTAAATATTTCACGTAATGGAGATTTAATTATATACATTTATATGAACGTGAATGAATTGGTCCATTTCAAGAGGAATTGTAGGAATAATTGGTAAAAGGGTGAAGAAATAAAAGGAGACTGTCAGTCTGAATGGAATGGGGAAATTTGAGGCAGGATTTGAATCCTGTATTCCCATTTCAAATCATTAGAAGTGCGAATAAAATGACAAGAGAAGAGAAGACACAAATCTATGCATACGGTGAGAGACACTTCAATTGCAACAAACGAGTCTTCAGAAGACAGCGATTGAAACTGCAATCTTACTCAAAGGTCCACCACAACTACATCTACCAAAGTGAGTAAGTTAGTGATCCGGTGGGCTTTGAAAACATTCACCCGAACTGTACTGATTGCTCATTCAAAGACATACCTTCATAAGGCAGCATTCCACATGTTAGGATCTCGAACATCAAGACACCGAAGGACCAAACATCACACTTGGTTGTGCACTTAGTCTCACCAAGCATTATCTCTGGTGCTGTCCAACGTGGAGGAAAATGTTCTGAAGAAAAAAATGTGAGATATTGGAGGGAATCCAATACAGAGAGTTTGTGAAAGAAACAAAGAGACTGACCTATTTTGTTGTTCATATCAGATCCAAGAATTTGCGCTAATCCAAAGTC